ATTTCAAGATGAATGGATGTTGATAGCAGGGACAGGTCAGGAGAATGCTTTCTTCCCTCTTGTCCAGCTACCTCAGTCAGCACCTTTCATATTTGTGGTGCCTCGGAATGTTTTTCTGCGCCTCATATGGGGCAAGTGCCCCCGCCGCCACACCTCTGTATGTTTGGATGTTTTGTTGATTTGGATGAGTAATAAGAATTACAATTCATACATTATTATATTCTCAATAAAAATATATTTTATTGTCTGTATTTTAGCAGAATCACTAATTAGATGGTTATAATCCTATTTTCACATCATTTGTCTTCTGTAGACAGTATGACCTAAAAGATTAAAATTAAAATGTAATTGTATTTAAAGTATATTGAATTTTAATATATTCATCAAAAATGCAAATTAAAGTATAAACAAAAGGAATTTTATTTAAAATTATTTAAATAGAGATGAAATATTCAAATTTTTATAAAAAATAGTTTCAATTTATAAATATATACTTTATAAAAATAGTTCTAGTATTCAATGTCCATCTAGTTGCCAATGTAAAGAATTAGTATCATACTTCATGTTACATTAATTTGAGTAATATGAATTATTAAATATTATAAGATGTTCCTCAGCCACCGCGTGTAATTACTGTGAATACTATACTAATTTGTGAATAATTTTAGGACCACAAATTGGAACATGAAGGAAAGCAAAAAAAAAAAAAAAAATGAAAACAAAGGATGCACAGGTTACTGGGAAATTGATACTTCATTATACAAGAAACCATTGCATATGGCTATCTGAGAGAAAGGATTTAACTCTGACAAGCTGATTTGTCTCTTCCCCTTAACATTTTTACCACTCAATCACCTCTCTCCCTCAGTGCCCCTTGGCCTCCACTCTGAAACAGTGACGTCTCCCAGCTCAGCGCAAATACCCTACAGACCTCATAGACCTCATCTGGATAGACTCACCCACTGTTCTGTTTTTTAAATTGTAATAAAATATATACCTTTTATTTTTCAAGCTCAGAGATGTGGAGAAGAGTTTCCCCTGGGCCTGAGTGGTGTCAGTCACAGGAGTGGATGTTTAGGATTATGAGTCTCATGGATGTCACAGAGTGGCAGAGGCACTAGTATATTCTCTAATAAATTTGTATCTGTGTGTGTTTGTTATATGTGGGGCTCAGGATGGCAGCCCCTCTTTCCTGAATCTAAGGGTGGCTCAGGGAGTGGGTCTTAGTGTCAATGAGGAGATCTCTATCATACAGTTAACAAAAGCTAAGTGATGAGATCTTACGAAATGGCTGGAATTTAAATCCAGGTATCTTCATTCATTCATTCATGTATTCATTCATTAAAAATATATATTCAGAGGAACAGAATTTCATATTCACATGGAATCCACACTTTCTGGAGCCACTGAGGCCGGATGAACCCTGAAACTATTGTTCTGAGGTAATTTTAAAACCTTGAACCTTAAACCAAAAATATTCCCAGAAACCTTCTTTAACCCAAACAATAGTTAGCTTAATTAGTAAAGAATGTCTGCCTTGAACTTTGTGCTCTTTTAAAGAACTGTCTATATAGTTCTTTAAATGGGATCAAATTGACAACAGCAGCTCAAAAGGTTAGATAGGAAGGTTAGGGGGCAGTGAATTTATGTTAACAGTAAAGGAATAATTAGAAGAGGAGGGTGAGAATGGTTGCACCACTTGAAGAATATAATCGATGTTACTGAATTGTACATTTAGAAATAGTTGAATTGGTGTATGTTTTGCTGTGTATATTTTCAACAACAACAACAAAATAAATTATTTAAATAAAAAGGAAAACCCCTATATTCACTTTCTCCAGTCTTCATTTCATTGTAGAATGTTAGTCTTCTAGTTCAGCCCCCTGATTCTGCAGATGAGGGAATTGAGGCTTAGAAAAGGACACTGACTGGCTAAGATCACACAGCAAGTTCATGGCAGAAAAGCCCCCAGACCAGGTTTCACAGGATTGAGAAACATTTGAGTTTGAGAGAAATCTGAACAGGTGTTGCTATGTCCCAGTCAGTTCCCTTCCTTCATCAGATTGTACCACCCAGCCACAAGCCACAGGGCCCTGGAGAAATCCTGCAGGGGGTTTCTATCTGAACAGCCACTTCCTGTTTGGGGCCCAGCACTTCCTTCAAGTGACTCACGGGCTCCCACTGGCCCCATCCTAAACAGCCAAGGTTGGGGTGGAGACAGGGCCAGCAGTGTCACCCTCTGCCTTCCACCCCAGCTGGGTGGCCCTGAAACTGAGCAGGAGCTAGAGACTGGAGGTAGGAGATGGGAAATGAAAGGAAGATGCCAGACTGTCTGGCCCCATCCAGCCAGGTGGAGCAGAGGCCCTAGAGAGGGCAGGAGAGCTCGGGCAAGGTGAGGATGAGGTACCCTCCACATCAAGCCATTCCCACATCTGGTTTCTAGGGTGGCTGGCCCAGGTGGGGTCTGAAGGTCTCGGATCCCTCGGATCGGATCCCTTGGGGGAATTTGTGGCACTTTCTCTTCCTTGCAGAGGGAGAGTGAGGTGTGGTGGAAGCAGTGGGCCTGGAGTCAAGGACTCGGATTTCTGACACCAACTTGCTGGTGACCTCAGGCAGTTCCCTGCCCCCGGTAGTCCTCAGTAT